CCTTCGTTTACACCTAGACTGCTTACGGAACATCTTAGCCTCATTGTTTCGTAGAAACTAAATTTTTTTTTCAACAGCGTTTGAGTACCAAATAAATTTGTTACCACTTCAAAGACAACAAAAAAATAGGCAAATTTTTATAAGCCAATAATCTGTTAACGTGTATAAAGTGAGGTAGAAACGTGACAAAATTAAAGTATCAGTTGCATAACTATAAAAATTTTTACACTAAAAGGGTTGATTTTTTTTACTGGAAAACAAGGAACCGGAAAAATGCAGTTATAAATTGAATATATTCTACTAATAGTGCAAAGCAAGGAAAAAATTGAGAGTACAAAGAGCAGAAAAAGAGAAACAAGAAAGTCGCACAAAATATACAGTTTTATATTTGATTTATCTTTTAACAAATCAGATAAATTGCCTAAGCTTTCTGTTAACAGAAATTTCTGTCTATTTTTTTTTTTCATTTATAATTATCCTATTTGGTTTTGAAATGACCTTTTGCGTGTTTTTCTTTTTCATTTTTTTTTCGATCTGTGTTGTTCCAATACACACTTCCCTTAGTGCTTTGTTGCTGTCATTATTATTGTTTTTTTTTCCTTTTTTGCTTTTATACATACAACCAAAAGCTAGGCTTAATAGCTGAAAAAAATTTGTTGTCACTACTAAAGTAATGGAAAGATAAAGGAGAAATAAGAAGAAAAAAATTAATTATACAGCTGCATTTTGATCATTAAAAATTGAATTTATCATAAAGCAGCATGAAGACAGAGATGAGAGAGAAGTATAAGGAAGAAGAAAATAAAGAGAATGTCGACGTCGATGCAAAAAGGGAAGAAGCAATCACTTGCTTTTTGTTCGCACAGTTGACATTAATCGTTATAGAAGTTTGTTATACTTTTGATGGGAACAACATCCGCTTTCCCTGCTAATAATCATGTTTTGCCTTATTCTCTTAACTAACACAGAGGGAATGAGAGATAACTGTAACATTTAATGGAAGAAAGAAGGCTAAATCTTTTGCCGTTTCATGATCTTACTTAATAACTGAAAAAGCGATACTTACGTTCTGTTTGCCATGACTGAATGTGCCATGACTACCAGTGACATTAACAAAATTTTTTGATGGTTTACTAAGACCATTGTGAATGTTTTGTAGTATGAAAAAAAAAAAAAGAAAAAAAGGAGATAAAAAGTCTTAATCTTTTTTTATTTGTAAAATTCAACAAAGAGCTGTTGAGAAAAAACAAAGTTTGATTCGTATTCACTCTGCATAATTGAAACCTTTGTGCACTTTAATTTTCTTGCTAAATTTTTTTGCAGAAAGTTAATTTAGACAGCAACAAAAAAAGAAAAAAATAATTTTTTTTTTATTTTTTTCTATTAATCGACATTCCTGATGCTAACAACGATTCTAAAAGAATTATCGTTTGTGCAGCAGACGAATTAATTTGTAATTTTGAAAATAGTCTGAAATTACGCAAAAAGTTTTAATCAGCAGCAAACGCAACGATGAATAGAACAACAAAAAACGGAGTCCTTGAATCACGCGCTAAACGTCTCCAAATAGTACCCTAATGTGTTCCCGATGTCATCAGATGATTGATGACAATTTTAGCAGTAGTAAAACAGTTTTTCTGCATTTTGGTACTGAAAATAAACTGACACTTTATGGTTCAAACTCTGTTGTAAACTTCAGCACAGTTCATCGATTAATGCCATGAGAACAAATTTTAATAAACGAAATGTTTGCTTAAGCTTCACCAGTAAATGTCAAAGCGCTTCTTTTCTTGCTAATTAAGAAATTATCTTTTTTATCTTTACGTATTATCATTAAACGTGACAAACACACAAACAGAACAAAAGAAGCTTGTAAAATTTACAATAAATAATCTCTGATACTACAAAACAGTGACATATTTTTAGGTGGATTGACGAGGATCGATTTATTCGTAAATGTAACGGTGGTGGTTTGGTGACTGTGGATGCCTGCCTTTTGGAGGATAACACTACACTGTTTGCCAACTCCAAAATGGAGCGTGATGGAAAGGTATCTAATTTCAGAAACCATAATTTTTAAGCTCATAATATTGACATTTGAAACAAAAGAGAGATAATCTTTGGCTCACATCAATCATTCTCTCCTTGTCCAAGTCTTAAAAAACCTTATGGAATTATTTTATAATGTGGTCACTGATTGGTTTAAGTTAAGAAGTATCTAACGCAGTCATTTTGCTGGATTTGTGACTTTTTTTAAACTGTCGTTTACTCAGTTACATAATAACTAAATTTTTCAGATATATTTCTGTAGTCCAGCAGCAGACAGTAGTATTTCTTCAATGTTCTCCGGTTTAACAGCATTTTTCACTCATACATAAATATTGGCTTTATCGTAATTGTGTATTTATGTTTGAGTGCTTATTTATGTTTATGTTTGTACTTTTATAAAATAAAATAAAGTTTCTTATCCTTTTACCTAATTTTCCTTCTTTTCTTTTTTCTTTTGGAAACACATTATGTTTTCATCAAAAGTATTCCTTAGATTCATTGTTCCCTCAATCGATAATAGCTTCAAACACAATTGTGCTTCTTCCGTCTTCTCTTTCGTTTTTCCCTTTCTTCTTTTTTTTTCCAACCTCTTCTCTGTCATCTTCAACTCTGTCTTTTTTTTAAAATCTAAATTTAAAGCTTATTTTGGCTTTTTTTTTTTGAACATTTATTTTAACTTTACCGTTTATCTTGGTATTTTCTTTTTCTCTTTTTTTTCTCTTGCCGTTTTTGCAAATTTTTTGGATGACCACAGAGATTTGATAGGTTTTTGGATACTACTCGCATCTCCACTAGAAACCGAAATAACAGCACGACGAGTGGCTGTTTGTTGACATAAGGTTATACTCCTAGTATCAAATAAGAAAAATTGATAAGCACTATCAACTTCTAAATACTATATGCTACTCAAAGTGAAAACAAGTATATACAGCAAACAGAACACCTAGATTAAACACTAGAGCTAAAAGCAAAAGAGTCAACTTCAGTCAACTTTGTTGCTATTAAATATGAATATTTTCTAGATCAATTGCTGTGAATCCCAGCAACTCAAATTTTTGCAGAAACTTCTTTACATTTTTTTGTTCACTCTTTTCTTTGTTTTCTAATATATTAATTAATGGTTTGATGAAACTGTCAAAAAAAGAAAAAAAAAAACAAATCTTGTTGTTCCCTCGTTTTTTCTTCTCTATTTTTTTCTTCCTCTCTCTCTCTCTCTCAAAAAAAAAGAGATGTAACTGAGAAATAAGTTTTCTTTGTTTAGCCAACTTTTATATATAATTTTCTACTTTTGTTTAATTCAAAAAAAAAAAAAAAAAAAAA